CGTGTCCGACGAAAAAATGGTTGGTTGTTACTTTTAAAGATGATGCGCTTCTGTGGGAGGCGATTAACCCAAAAACGAACTATTGCAAAGTATACTTTTCTTGTAACTTTGTATTCATGAATAATTGTGTTTCTTTTGTTTCTCCATTTGTGTTCGTTTTGTGCAAATTATGTCACCGGATTCTACGTGACTTAAATAACTCTTACGTAGAAATCCAGTTTTCTCTGAAGTTTATAAAGATAAGCGTCGGAATAAGCCTTCCTTTCCTAGCCTAACTAAAACGACACGGTTTATTTTGAGAATATCCATTTCGAGCTCATTCTAAAGTTAACTCGAATTATTCAATGTAAATGATTAAGAGTTTTATCAGCGAACAGATAGCTACAGTTGTCTTATTTTGGTACGTGAGAGTGGCCTTCTCTCAGATATTTTCATCGGAAGATCTTTATGTGATCAAGTACTTCGAAATAGGAAACATCTTGGTTTGTTAGGTACAAGGCAGCTGATAGCAGAGGTGTTGTAAAGTTTTCCAACTGCGATCGGTCAGACAAACGTTTAAGCAATCATATCTTCGAAGCTCTAAGCGCGATATACATCGAATGTACGGACTGTTTATTTGATTTGTCCCATGAATATTCTCTACGTCTCTACGAGTGTTGCAGAACCTCCAGTGAGAGCTCAGCTCAGGTGATTCGCCCGTCATAAATAAACTCTTGAAAGCGATTTGATTGTTTCGGCTTCCTTTAATCTATACTGGTAAAATAGTTTGTAAATTTGAAAAGACAATCACTATTTGTTCAAAATTTCGCAGTGAGATGGACTAAGCCTTTTTCTGTCGCATCAGGAAGTTCCATCGAAGAATAGGTGCACTGGGAAATCGAGGGCCTTTCTTGGTTAACTGATGGCACAAGCAGCAATTTGCTCATGATCAGGTGTGCGCATGCTTAGAGCTTTGATTTATCTCTTCTTTGCGTGAATTAACGAAAGTAAAAGAAACAATAAACGCGTCCCACAAGTGTCGGCTAGGTTTATGACAAAATTGTAACAACTCTATAAGTGAATGAAGTCTTTGTATATAACGTGACTTAGTCAATGTCCAGCAGGTACTAATGAGACTGAAGGCGGGTTATCAAAACAAAGATCACCCGTTGTTTAACAAATCCGCGTTTTAAATTATTTGGAATCTTTTATCTGAACATTCCCTTTTGAGAACAGTGTCAAGAGGGCCGAAAACTGGCAGTGGAAGGACATTTATTTGATGAAAAAAAACCCTTGAAGAGAATACGTCAAGCCCACTGCTTGCGTAAAACCGAGGTTAGGGTAAGACTTCGTTTAAATAACCGACCGTAAATGTTTCATTGCTTTCATTGTGGTTAACCTTTTAACCTCAAAGAGAGACTAGCATCTAATTTCTTTTTACGATATCACCCCTGAATCACATATTAAGGTCACAAGAGTGAATGAAACGATCAACAACCGGAGAAGCTCTTGATTTTCAGACAAATTCTCCTTGTCAGCATCCTAGGAAATGAATAGAGAGAACAGTTAGGGTGTAAAAGATTAATCTGTAGCAAAGTAAAGGCAGTGCGAGGAGAAAGAAAATGTAGAAACATAAAAATTGCAAATTAGAAGGTTATCGCTCTAAACGTCAGTGGCGTGTCTTTATAAGTTCAAAATAATAATAATAATAATAATAGTAATAGTTACAATAGTTATGATTATGACAGTGATGATAATTTTTATATAATAATAAAAACCCAACGACTTCTTAATCCGATTTCTCATTATACTTGGAGGCAATGTGCAATGTTCAATAAGGTTATAACTAACGAAATATTTGGAGCGATGACTGACTCCGAAAAACAATGCAAGGCCGAGTGTGAGATTGGTGGCAGTTAGAATCGCCGTAAAAGAGTTACATTTGTGTCTAGGAGTTCTTACTACCAATTTTAGTCGATGATTCCTTACTACCAATTTTAGTGGATGAGAAAATTCAAGCTGATGTAACAGCGCCTTTTCTTTTGTGGCTCTAACTGTTCTGTAGCTAAGGATTTGTCAGACTCTAAACCGGCGTGTTATGTTTCTCTCCTTAGTAGGTAAATTTCCATTGCCGGCCTGGCTTCTGCAAAATAAGATCGCGTGAATGTATGAAATACAGCTGAAGATCTTATTGATAAAACTTAATGAAGCGACGAGTATTGATTGAGCAAAGCCATAAATCCACTAAGTACTTTGAATTTATTAATTTGATTTCTGTAAATAAGGAATATCTAAGTCCAAAGAAACCCCTGGTTTGAAATTTTTGCGGCCATGAAACCGGCGTGAACAAAATGAAAGGAATAAAGCAACGGATTGTCTTTGAGAAGCAGATGAGTGGAAAGAATGTGCCTCACTTATTAAAATTGTTGAGCTACGTTGCGTTCGGTTGATGTTGAAAAAACCGAGGACAGCACAGCTTTTTAAAACTTCTCATTTGTGATCCGTTTTAATCTTTTTAATCCGTAGCCATCCATGTTGAATTTTAGTCTCTTCATCTCTCGGTTTTTCTCTTTCTTCCTGTCGAGCTGATACGCCTCAGTCTCCTTGAAAAACTAGACAAATATTAACCGCGGCCAACCTTCGAAATAACAACAGTTCACATCACTAGGAGCTAATCAATAACGATAGCAAATACACGTAACCATCTCGAGCGCGGGAAAACGCGGGTGACCAAGGCGTGGATTTTGCTTCTGATTGGTGAGAACGGATTTTCTGGACCAATCGCAGAGCAGGGAATTAAAAAAAGGAACTCAAGCAAACCCGGATTACTTCGAAACTCAACTGAAAATTGCTCTTTGAAAGAGGCGGCTTCATTCTTACCAAATTGAAAGTGTTTTCAACATTTTTCGTTTAGTTCTTCAAGCGTCCCTAATTAGCAGTTACATACCAGGTACAGCAAGGTGCTCAAAGCTTTAAAGGTATTTTGACTTTTTTTCTGCAGCTATTTTAGCCTCTCATGAGTTTAGCTGGACACACCTCTGTGCTTCGCAGCGGACATCGTTTCTGTTCTCTTGAGGTTTTATGTAGATAAGGATGAAACCCATAATGCCTGTTTTTAATTCCTCAAGAGTTATATTCAACGATGTAAAGTTTGAATCTGTGAGAGGCAGTTTCGTGAATTTTGATCTCGATTCAGTGAATAAATTACTCATTCCCGAGATATAATGATTATTTGATTGTCACGCCTTTTACAGACAAAAGAAACTGCTCTCCCCTAATATCAGTTCCTTGTCATAATTCCTTCATCCCTTATTTGATATTTATGACTGGATACCTTCTCTTTTCTTTTTTTTTCAGTTAATACTTGAATCCTGAACAGAAATTTATATTTCCTGTGAATAAATAATCAACTGAATGTTAATTTTCGAGAATCAGATTTGTGAGTTAATTTTCTTACTTATTTAGATACCTAAACTATCTGCCGTTTTTTTTTTTTTAATTAATGGATAAGTTGATGTAATGTAGTGTAAAGATAATTTCCTTGGTGACTATTTAGACCTCCCTGTCCACAGTCGTAAGAATCGTTGAATGATTGCTTAACTGGGCTTCTCCTAACCTGTTGAAGCGTGGGTTTAAACCAACCCTATTTGATTTTGAAAGTTTGAACGCGCTCATCAATACTAAATTAGCTATTTTCTGAAGATAAATGTTTGAATTTTGGGCGAGCTATATATGGTAACAAAAGTTTTTACAAAAGTACCTTGGAAAAATTTCTTTAATTTATCAGATTTAAACTTCAACCTTCAAAAAGTTTCTGCTTGAGGTGATAATAAAATAATTGAAAGTTCTGGAATAAAATTCATGTGGGACTGATAATCTGATTTTGCTTTGTAAGGATTCCAAAATGTCAATGAATCGATATCAGCTTGAAGAGCGAGCGAAATATGCAGCAGATTTTCACATCAATTTTGAGACGAAAAATCTTCCTGTCGCCCACTTTTGGAGTATATTTTTTTCTCTAATCCCACGCTGAGGATGTTAAAAACTAGAGAATGAATTTACATATTCAGTGATAAGATTAACAGTAATACCAGTGGAATAGTTATGTTGTTTTGTTGGCAAGCTTTTCGCCAATTCGGACAATCGTGGAATTGAATTTGAAACATTTTCAGCTACAGTTGATGAGAGAAGGAGATATTATTTCGAAAGTAAGGCGTAAACCCGTTATTGTTTAAACTTTGTGATCATTATCTTCTACTTTTGAGGTAATTATAATGGACTCTAACCAAGAATTTCTTGCTAGATAAGTATTAATTTAAGTACAAAATTACAGCAACTCTTCGATGTCGTGGTAACATTTTATTGAAACGGTGAAAAGTTATCGCCTTTAATTCTGGATCGAAAAAAAACGAATATTTGGGAGAGCATCACGTAGGGAAATTTAAATTCTTGTGCTCATTAGTGTGAAAAATGATGCGAAACAATGAAAACCACGAAAAAATTTCCCACTAGGTTGACACCGCAAACTGTCCCTGAAGCTCTCGTGAAATCGTGGCGAAAATATAAGAAGCCTGATCAATTTTGCGTCAGTCGGTTTGAAAATACTTCACAGTGGTCGAAATATTCCGAACCAACTTCCTACCCGCGATAAGAACTTTATTTCGGGATGCGCTTCCTGAAACACCTGGAAACGGTCCGTTAATAATCTAAATTCACAACCTGCTTTATCGAAATAAACTAACATTTGGGGTGAAGATAATGGTGCCTAAATGAGCCAATAGGAGCGTAATATTTAAGAGTTTCTTTATAACGAACCAAATATGAGGGCTTTGATTGCGCGCGTCTGTCTTTGACCAATCTAGCGCCAGTTAGAGCTGAGGTAAATATTCATGGAGTAAGGAGAAGCGCGCTCGTTAGTTCACGGCTGGGTGTTGTGCGTTCGTTTTAAGGCTCTTAATTCTACTCAGGCTTTGGCGTCGACGAATTGATTAGACACAGAATTCATGCTCTTATTTTGGTAGAAAGAAGACATGGAAGACGACGAGAAGAAAGTGGTGCTGAACGGTGCTGCGGAAGGGGATAATCCACCCGAAGAGGACGGTGAATATAAAGTAGAGGTTGAGATCAATATGGAAGAACGAGAAAAGTGGGGCAAGAAAGTGGAGTTTTTCCTCGCGTGTATCGGCTACGCTGTTGGGTTAGGCAACGTGTGGCGGTTTCCGTACTTGTGTTTCGAGAACGGCGGTGGTGCGTTTCTCATCCCTTACGTCTGTATGCTGTTTCTATGTGGAATGCCATTGTTCTTCATGGAACTTGCCCTTGGCCAGTACGTGAGCTTAGGACCTGTAACATCGTGGGCGGCCATATGTCCTTTGGCCAAAGGTAATTGTATCGTTCTTGAGAAGCATTGTTCATCGTCCTTGATCTATTTATCTTTCTACAATAAAAATTTAAATACTACGGTCAGTTCGAAGCGTATTACTTTGTGGAGAGAAACACTGTAGGAATCTTATTGAAATCTTTCTTGTGACAGCATGTTCAGTGATTTTTTTTCACGGTAGCAAAGTATCATGTCGTGTGTAGTTCATCCCGAATTCCGTGTCTGAAAGCTTTGTTTCTATATTACTTGATCTCGAAGATGAATGGAAATTTTAAAATGATTTTTAATAAACCACGAAAAGTTTTATTTGATAAGGTTATTTTTAGTTTTGATGGCGTTCTCCCAATATCCACGATTTAAGAATACAAAAGTGGAATATTGTTGTCTTAAGATAGAGAGTCTTTCTTGAAAACGGTTGTCAGTTAATCGAAATGAGCAGGTTCGAAGCGTGCTTCGTCGAAAATTTTGTATGAAGTATATAATTAATTTATGAGGCAGAACACTGTTACAGTTTTGCTCGCACAAAGCATGCAATATTGATAACAATTTACACATTGTTAGTTAGTTCTCACTCTTAGACAAGAACACATTCTACTTTGCTCTCCGCAAGGGTCAATATATAACGCTTTCATTGATGTTGTTTCATGAAAACATGTTTTTAAATTCCCTTAAGAACCACCGCTCCTGTTTAGATTACTTTTTATATTTTGATTGCTGAGATGATCCTCGGAAAGATCACCCGATAAATTTTCAACAAAACAATATGTTATCTTTAAAACGATCTATTCTTGTTATCAACTCTTTTTTTTTCCCCCGACGTAGTTTATATTCCTAGTTGTAAATTTCGTGCCAAGCCATTCTCGATGCTTGCTTTCAATAAGAGCGTGTTTCAACGCGGTAGAAATTAAGCCCGATGATTATCTCATTATTAGTAGTTCCATATAGGGACATTTGGTTAGAGATCAAATTTTATTTTTTTTAATATGAAAAATTACTTAAAGCACATAAAATGTCCAACAAATTACTAAAAAATATTCTTAAAATGACGCAAATTTACATGCGAACACCATGACTCAAAATTGTTCAGTCTAGACAAATGCTCTCGCTGCAAGCGTAGTATCTTTGCGGGAAAAACTTTTACTACTCTCTCTGCGGGAAACGGTGAAACTGTCGTTGTTTTCGAATTGAAATGTTCAATATTTTAAGTCTGCCTGTGTTTGGGTGGAGTAAATATTCGCGCTTTCGAAATTTTCTTGTACTGTGTCCTTAAGCTGTTAGAGAATTCCTCAGGGAAAGCTTCTTTTTGAAAATGCAAATTTTGGAAATGGTGTTGATTAAGAAGAGACTTCTTTCTTCAATCGGCTCTGTGTAAAACTCTTTCGCAAAGTAAACTTTTTTTCGAAAACAAAATCATGTGGACGCTATTTATTGTAAATTGTGTAGTTTTGACTCGTCCCATTATACGTCTCGTTGGGAATCGCGGTTTGTCGGTGACTGGAGAAAATTGAAGCAAATTGTACCTTGCTAAGAAAGCTGCCACAAGCCTTGAACTTGTACGATTCAAAATTAGCAGTCCATTGATGAAATTTCGTTTTTTTCAAATTTAAAAGCTACAGTGTTTCAAATTTCTTCAAACACTATTTGGAGGAAATTCGGCCATTTCTCTTGGTAATCTATGAGAAATTCCACCTTTGTGTCTTTGGTTACACTTCGCCGCTTATTTTACCGATCTGCAATTTTTCCCATTTGCAAGAAAATTTGTGGGATCAATAGGCATTTTGCTCGATTCATTTTAGAATATCACCACACTCTCCTTATCAGAATCTTTAAGTGCACTCGAAAAATACTCAATTATTGTTAGAAGTGATCTTCGTGAAGTCCTGCCTCCGTCTTGTCATCTGCATTGTTATAGGTCGCAACATTCCCTACACCGTAGTTCTTAAGTGCACTCGGAATTTTTCAGTCATTATTTGAAGTGATCGTCGCAAAGGCCCGCCTTTTTGAAGTCATCTGATATGTGATCTAAACTTTGAGTGCCCTCGAAAGCTATTCCCTGGCATCAGTAGCGGCGAACGATAGAACAGACATAAATCAAACTGTTTGTTTTGAGGTGACCCTGCTTTTAAGAACAAGCTGCAAGGAAATGTACGGAAAAAGCTCTCCCTGGCAGAGTCTTCACTATGCCCGAAAGTTTTATCTGCGTTACCATGGACACATTGAACGTGTCAAAGGAAATATTCTGCTGTTTTCTCGGAAGGTACAGAATCTTCCACAATGAAATTAAGGAAGGTACAGAATCTTCCCCAATGAAATGAAGACACAGTCTCTCTAAGAGCGGTCCAGTGCGTTTCGATCATCAAAAGTAGCACAAATTTCCGAGCTCGTCTTTTCAAAAAATTCTAAATTGAGGGTTTTGTTTAGATTTGCATATTTAGATCAACCCTTTATTTAACAAATTGAGAGGCCTTGTCTTTGCTCTGTTCTGTTGTAAAGCAAGCAGGAAGCGACTATACCACGAAAGAAGTGTAGGGAAAAACACGAGACGTAGTCGAGTGTTACTTCCCACTTCTTGAGTGCTCTGGCCGCTTCTTAAGAGCTTTACAACGGAACAGAGCGGTCAAGGCTTTTCAATTTGTTTTATAATAAAGAATCCGTCAAATTCCCCACGCATTACTTTCAGTTTTTAAAACAAACTTTATTTCCAAAGCGAACAACAGTGTCGTCAGCGTGCTTTATTCTCTCATAAAGCACGCTACAATAAGCCAATCAGAATCCCTGTTAGAATGGTTCAAATAATCTGATTGGCTGTACAAAACTTAAGCTGTCAAAAATGTCAAACCATCAAAGTTCACATTGTGCAATAGTTTACAAACTGAATAGTTCGGCTGGTCGAATTTAACTCTTTGGCCTGAAGCCTTTAAGTCTCTAATACAGAATCTGAAAGTGAAATGTTGAATGAAATCCGGCCGAATCGTAGCTCATAAAAACACGCGAGTTTTTTTCACATGACAAGTAGAAAACAAACTGTTCAGGCGTGTGTTTTATGAATGAACAACTGCCGAATTTACCGGAACATGGAAATTGCTTGGGATGACAGCACCGTAAAACTCGGCTACAGTGACTGATGTGGCCTTCCGCTCAACGCTTAGGGAAAGGATATCAGAGCAAGCTCTTGGTTTCTGAGGCTTACTTGTCTGCTATGACCGGAGATTGCCATGATGAGTTAGCCGCGTTGGACCTCAGCATGACAACGTCATTACTAGTACGAGTTTTAACGGTTATGCCAGTTTGGCTATGTTTTTCATCATTCCTGTTTTGTTTTTGAACACGAAACAATATATACTACACGAGTGTTAGCTGTGTTTGATTTTTATTACCGTACGTAAGCTTGCAATCCAACTGAGCGTGAAAATTTTCAAAACTCGGACTGTTCATTTCTTTTACTCTTTGAGGATTTTTGTCTCTGCTCACGCGATAACGTCAATTGCGGCGCCTGGCATGTTTACAAATCTTTGTTTGGTTCTTCTGTTGCTATTTGCCGACTTGCCTGTTCCGAAATTTCACTCCCAATTAAAGGAAAAAACTTAGGGAAAAGTCCCGAGGAAGTCGGACATAACACAATTTGGCAGATGGCGTGACAGGTTTAGCTCAGGTCTATGCTTTAAACTCTCATAGAGCACGCTCTTTCAACCAATGACAGCGCGCGTTATATTCACTGATTTTTTTGTTTGTTTTACACCTACTTTGATGAAATATGCAACTTTTTATCTCGGCTCAGCGCAAAATTCTAACCTCTTCCCACGATATTTAGAAATATAAAAACTTGTTGTGGTTTCGGTGAAATTCTAGAATAGCACGCCACTAAATCAGGCGCTATAGAAGTCCTATCGGGCGTTTGAGCGCTGAAGGTGGTTTCGATTACTTTTCGACCGCTTTTAGAGAGACTGCGTCGTAAAGCCTTATTTTAATGTAGAGATCCTGGAAGACTGTTTAGTCGAGCCGGCGATAAGAAGGGCTGTGAGTTGATAGTTGTTCGCTGATGGTGCTGTGTCGCTATTCGTGAATCTGCGCAATTAACGTGAATCTTTGTTTTTCTCATGTTCGTCAATTGCACTCCTCTTTTCGATTCTTGACTATCTTTTTTTTCTTCGTAGTATAGAGCATTTTTCAATTGAGTGCCGAAAACATCCCGGGATTGTGTTCTCTACTCCGCTCAATGATTGGTAGAGAAAACACGCCGGCGCCACTCGCACAACCAATCAGATGCAAAACTAAAACTAATACGACTGGGTCACCCACGCTTTTCCCGCTCTTTAAGCTGTTTTCTTGTTTTTTTTTCTTTTAAGTTCTCATCGGCGCTTCCTTCTGATTGGCCAATGTGATTACTTTGGCTTTGGTTTTACGACTCTCAATCTAAAAGCTCTCTTTCATCGTATTTTCTATTTTTCTTTCTCACTGAGCTAATATTTGTAGCCTATAGTATATGATATTTGATTGATTGATTGATTGATTGATTGAATGGTTGCCTAGGTGTGGGTTTTTCCATGTTGGTCGTGTCCTTTCTCTGCTGTGTGTACTACAATGTCATTATCGCCTGGTGTTTGTACTACATGTTTAAGTCGTTTGCCAGCATGGTTCCGTGGGCAAATTGTAATAACTGGTGGAACACACCCAACTGCGCACGCGCAAAGAAAACGAGTAGAGTCACTGAAAATGGAGGTGTGCCCAGTAACACAACAGGGAACAACACGGAGCTCCTCTACACCACCTCTTGTATTAACCAAACCTTTCCAGAAGTTGGAAACTTGACTGGCGGGAACATGACTGTAACGAATGCTTCCATGCCAATGTGGAAATGCCTTAACACGACCCTCAACGCTACTGCAAATGCTACTGCTACCGTCACGAAAGTTTCTGCCGTGGATAGCAATTCTCCCAGCAAAGAATTCTGGGAAAATTATGTCCTTCGAATTACAGACGACATGGGAGACCTCGGTTCAATGCGTGTCGAGCTGTTAGTAGCACTCATCGTGGCCTGGATTCTGGTGTATTTTTGTCTGTGGAAGGGAATAAAGTCCTCGGGGAAGGTGGTATATTTCACCGCCACTTTCCCCTATGTGGTTCTTGTAATTTTGCTTATCCGGGGGGTTACTTTGCCTGGTGCATCTAAGGGCATCGAATTCTATTTGAAGCCCGATTTCAAGAAGCTGGCCGATGCCTCTGTCTGGGCTACAGCTGCCACTCAGATATTTTATTCACTTGGTATCGGATTTGGTTCGCTCATTACCATGGGGAGTTTCAACCAGTTTCATAACAACTGTTTCAGGTGAGAGTTGCACACTTTAATAAGACTTTTTTACTTGCTCGCTTGCTTGCTTGTTCGACTTTCCTCCGTCATTATCATAGTTGTTTGTCTGTTTGATTGATATTCTGTTTGTTTTTTGTTTGGGGACATTATGCGGATCTAAAAGACCCTTTTCGAGCTGTGGCTGAGCCGCCGGCGCACTCTACTCTCGCAGCCCCTTTCTTTATTTAGGGAAAAAGGGAAGCCTTAGCAGTACTTGTGCTAAACTGCAATGGAGAAGGCTTCCCATTTTATGTTCGACGATGTGCTTAGCTCATGTCCTAGACGTAACCATCAAACTTTGTTTGTTTCAGAGATGCCATGATTGTATCCGTTATAAACTGCAGTACCAGTGTCTTTGCTGGCTTCGTGATCTTCAGCGTGCTTGGCTTCATGGCACACGTGTCCGGCAAGGCAGTCAAAGACGTGGCTACATCCGGTCCTGGCTTGGCTTTCGTTGTTTATCCTGAGGGGATTGCCCAGATGCCTATTTCTCCATTCTGGGCTGTGTTGTTCTTCTTCATGTTGTTAACGTTAGGGCTTGATACCCAGTTCGCCATGTTTGAAGCTGTTGTGACTGGCCTTGTGGATGAGTACCCGCGCTTCTTGAAAAAACGCAAAGAGCTGTTTATCGCTTTCCTGTGTTTCCTCTGCTTCCTGCTGGGTATCCCTATGGTCATGCAGGTACTGTGGTTTTTAAAACACAGGGGTTAAAGTCCGCCATATTGTTTTTATAAAGATACGCATGCACAGTGTTTGACCGCTGTGTCGGTTTTTAATTACTTTAAGAGCTTCATCCATGTAGGAAATCGCTTTTAAATAGAAGGAAATTTGAAATTGTTTCAGGACAGGGGAACATTTAAGCTTTTTGGGTGCGTTTTGTTTTACTAGGAAGAAAACAAATGATTACTGTCGGAATTTGTTCAATTTAGTGGCATGACTTGATTAGTGTATGGAGACCATTTTATCTTGCTCATGATAGTAAATAGACATGTGATACTTTGCATTTTAGGGCGGCATGTATATTCTTAACCTGTACAACTATCAGTCTGGTGGAGTGTCCTTGCTGTTCTTGGCTTTGTTTGAAGTTCTCACCGTTTCCTGGGGCTATGGAGCAGACCGTTTTGCTAAAGACATCGAGAACATGATTGGTTACAAAATATGGCGATGGTGGCCTATTGCCTGGAAGTTTCTCACCCCGCTTGTTATTTTAGGTTGGTGGTGATACAAAAGAACTACGCGTGTGCCTCTCGTCTAAAACCTACAAGTAGAGGGATAACGTAATGGAGAAATATACCAAATTGTCAAACCAGCCTTAACTAATCGTTACTCAGTCCTGGAACATTCACTGCTGTTTTAGAAAAGATGGTTAATCGTCTTGTCGCGGGCGTGGGACAAAGAAAAAATCTGTGTCTTGAATTTAATTTAAGACCTTCGGAGTCCGCGCTACAATGCTCTACCACTGAGCTACTACTGAGAGATTAATTTTGTGCTAAGCCCTTACCCCGTTAATATACGATACACATCCTGCATACTGCGAGGATCAGCGATGTACAAAGGGTCTTGCAAAAATTTGAAATTTTGAAATTATGAAATTTTGATCTCGGTAATGGAATAAGGGAGGATGTTTTTTTCGTACTGTCGCGAACGTGGGATAAGGAAAAACCATGGCCGTGGTGCCCGTCGCCTGAAAATTCCTCTCTCCCCTTGTTATTTACGGTAGTTAGTGATTTAAAAAAACCACTCGCCTCTCGTATTGACCGGTAAGGTTGCCCTACATAAGGCTTTTACCAGTTAGCATCTCACGACATTATCTCAAGTTCTCGCGTCGGCTTTTTGTCCTTTGATCTTTTTGGACGGTGGGATGACTTTGGTTTTGGTTTTATGGCGCTCAATAAAAAAGTACTAAATTTCAAAAGTTATTTAAAGCCAGCCGTTCTCACTGTTGTTTGTCCTATTTATCCTCTTATCCTCTAGGGGTTTTCTTATTTAGTGTCATTCAGTGGAGCGGCGTAAAGTATGGTGATTATCAGTATCCTCCATGGGCAGAATTCTGTGGCTGGGTTCTAGCGCTGGCCTCCATGTTGTGGATCCCAGGGGTTGCCACTTACAAGCTTATCAAAACCCCTGGGAGTTCTCTGTATCAGAGGATATGCTTCCTTCTGCGGCCAGACGAGGAGGAGATGAAAGCGATAGAGTTACGCGAAGGCTTAGCAACACAGGGCGAGATGGAAACTCTCTAGAGAATCCTGATTTCATTGGGTGTGTCTCTAAAAGAGTTGTTTTAAGTTGTTTTAATTTTAGAAAAAGCACGTGTGGTATTGTTTGTATGGTTTGCACTAACAATAGTATAAGAGGGTTTTTTTTAAAATTTTGATTATTTTAAGAAGAATTTTAAGTTAAGCTCGCTTACTTGACTCTGATGTTTAAAATGGTTAAAATAATGGCAGTTTTTGAAGTTACAGAAAAAGAAAGAATGAGTTATAGGTTGGAGTAGGCCGATCTCGTTGGGGAAAAGGATGAGAAAAATGAACTAATTTTAAGTAGCAAATATTCATGTAAATTTGCCGCTTGTATGTAAGACAGACTTTACACATTAGCAACATATCTTCTGCGTATACCATTTGCTTCTTTATCGCTTTTTTTCAAATTCCACTTTTAGATGTTCATTTTACAAAGGGTTGTCAACTCCAAGTATAGAAGAGGTCTCTTCTGTAATCTCGATAAATTCCGGATTGAGAATGTTTACTATTCGTGAGACTTGAGAGTTGAACGCTAAACGTTAAGAACATCATACTGAAAATATTTAGCCGAACTGTTAATGTGTCAAATGAAGACAAAAAGCCATATTTTGTCTCTTTAAAAACTAATTGACATCTCAGGTTTCGCCTATAATAATTCCCGTAAGACAAGTTATTTAGTAAATAAACCCCTTCAGGCGGCTGGTATGTCAGCTGAAAATGTTAGCGTCTGCGGTTTTTGTGAACTTACTATGCTTTAACAAATTCCAAACGAAAACTAAAGGAATCATACTTTTGTAATCGAAATATGTTTGTTTGTTCGCAATTAGCTGGAAACTTATGTCAAATTATTTGCCATCTACTTCATGTTTCAAAATAAAAAATGGCTTGCTATGTAATATACTGTTACAAGAACGTTTAATTACAGCAAAAAATTCTGCATTAGTTGATATTACAACCGTTTCTTGATGCCTCTTGCGAGTTCACTTAATCATTATACTGGTAAGAAAGCTGCATCGATTCAATGCATGCAATCTTTGGCTTTTGATCGGTCAAATTTACACATGGGATAATTATAAAAGACATTCTCTCACTAGGTCTGAGGATAGTGTCATGAGGAAAGATTTCCTTAGCATTTTACGTTTTTTAGTAGCAACTATAATTGCAAATATTGCTAAAAATATTTATCGCTGTTATAACATAGTTAAAATTCCAATTATATTCTGCAGGTGGTATACAACTGCTGATGTTAGAAATAGTTTGATTAAGGCGTTCATGAAGTTTTACTGTTGTCTTGTGAAGGTTAATGCTTGCAATGTGGTCAAATATCAAAGTAACACCAGCAGCTACCGGGAAAATGATAAATTGAATTACCACTGTAAAAAGAACAACCAAGAATGGTTAAGCTTCCTTGTGCTGTAGAAATCAGCTTTAACTGAAGCCTGATTTCATTATCTTTGTTGTCTTTGGAATGATGTGCAGTAGTTTTAACGATTGCCCTTAACATAAAGACGTCAATGAAGAAGAAAGGCTTGGCAAGCTGAGAGCTGTCAACCATTTATCCTAAAAATTGCACAAGGTTTGGACTCTTTTTGTTAACCATTTTTCGGGTTTTTGTAGAATCTCATCACTACATGTACATTGGTCAAATGTCAAAATGGTCGATTGTCTTAGACGGACGCCCGGGAAGTGCTGGTGTTATTTCAATAAGATCACTTCGTGAAAGACGTAGGATCTTCTTTGTAGATTCAGTTTAAATAATGGTGCCATTTTAAATTAGCTAAGGCAAGTAGAAGTTAATGTTTTCTAATTTGTTGCTTACATAGTAATTCATATTACCAATGAAAGATAATGAACATTTCAGAATAAACCAAGGAAACAGTTGGTTTGTGAAACTGATTGAAGTTTTCGTTGGGCAGTGGAGTTCCCAGATCGCAGAGGTTTCCTTCAAAATTTCTAATGATAATCAGCAACAATAAATAACCCAAGTCTACAGGAAATTCTTATGAACACCAAACAAGCACAGTAGTATACGGTGTTACTATGATACACTTAACATTCTGCAATCTTTGCGCGTGACAGCATGACAATCGCCATCTTGGATGCTAATCTGGCTTACTGATTGGTTCAATTGTAGTACGTGGTGCAAAATACGCTTCTATAATTGTCCCTGCACCATAGTACCCCGTGTACTACGAAACACCTGTCAGCCGGGAAAAGGTTTCAGTAACCAGGTGCATTGTCGTGAAAAGGGAAGGTGTTTGGTTGAGGGTGCCCTGTAGCGCTCGTTTCGTGAACAATCTTGTGAAATATAAGTACTTTCAGAATACCAGTTCCCTGATCTTTCAATTTCTACTGGCTTGCAATTTTCAGCACTTGTTACTTAGACAATGCATGCTTGGTAACTTTTTCATTCCGTTCGTCATTTTGATTGAGGGGTCTATACTTAAGTCACGGCCGTTGTTCGTGGTGATCTCGTTTAATTTACAATGGACTGAGTCACTGTCGCGAGCCACTGAATATGTTGTACATTTCTAGCTGTTGACGAGGGATGCGACTTGCAACATTACTTCTGTCGTAAATCTACTATTACTGCCAAATCAAGCGTGGAATTATTTTGATTTAATTAAATGGAAATGACTTCAACAGCAACGATCTCGTAATAGTGAAATCCCTCCCGATCTTCGATACTGGACATCTCACTTTTAGAACGGCTAACTTCACATTTCTTCAGACTGCTGCTAAAATTAAGCGACTGGCACTGATCGGTTACCAAGCATAACTTCATGCATTGCATGACGTCAGAGACACTTCGTGATGTAATCACTTGACCGGCTTGCACTTTATCCGGACCGAATCTTGGCATGAACAACGCCTCCAAGACTAGATGAAACACATGAAAAACATGCATCGAACTGTTAACCACTTTGTATATTGTAAAGATTACGGAATAGATTAGTCTTGCCATCGAGTGATGTTGGAAATTTGTGTAGGTAATAACATGGAGCCCAGGAAAATTGAGGATTCTATTAATTTCGCGCGTGTTCTCAGAGGTTGCGGAAATTGCAGGAGTCGCGCAGCGACGAGAGCAATTTATGTATGCTGAAAGTAAATGTTATATCAATCCTTAATTTTACAAGGCAACTTGCGATTACCTTTTAATAATACGAATGGCAAAATTTCTTTTATAAAGAAGATCAACAACGCACGCTGTTACGCACGATCGTAGGAGGGCATTCTAATGTTCAGTTAGCGTCAGAAAACTGTAAAACGCACGAATCAGCTGAATGAAGTTATATTTTTGCACAACAGCTCCAAAGCATTATAAGCAACCCTGATTAAAAGCATCTGCCATCCGTGAAATTATAAATTTTTGTGCAAAGTTAAGCCTTACTCAGTAAAGTGTGGTTAAAATGCCACTTTTCTCAGCCGATCAGCATTTAGTAATTTTCCCCTCTATGTTATAAAGCAAACTGCACTCTGCATAGAATCTAATGATTGACCTTACAATTGAAATAATTCTAAGCCTTGACAATGTCGATATGGTGATTCCAAATGACGCCTAATGTGACCAGTAAAAAATTGTTCGACGAGCTGCAGACGAGTTTGTCGCTGACGAAAAGTTTTACCTCCTGTTATCTATCACACCAAACACAATGTAAAATGTAATCCTGCTGTGTCAAGCAAAGGACAGGAAAGAAAATTTGTGGAGAAGAGCAAATTTACCTCGTAGCACTCTATTCCTCGTATATACCCCCAGTAGTATCACTTGCTTACGTTTTGAAAAAGTCGTGCCAAATTTTTTTAAAACTACTTGCCGTTTTGCAAAGACAAGTATTGCATGACGTCAGCCACGTGTTTGTGCTATAATAGATCATAGCTGACGACCAATCACAATCATCCTAACACTTAATCATATGGCTCTTTAGGCAATTTCACCTTCTGGCCAAGGCTCTCCATAAAACTCCATTCTTGCACAAGTCCAGTTATGCCATTTCAACGGTATAAGGCGAACATACCGAGCTTGAATCACTGGGATGATGTTCTTTTTCACTTCATGCGTGTTGCTATTTCCTTCTAAAACCTGTGAAATTCGTGCAAAGGAATACGGTGTTTCAGGAAAGGAAATTGTGCCAACTCGAGTATCCAGAACTGAATTTCTAAGGGTGTGACTAGACCTGAAAAGATGATTTCATCATTATCCAAAACTGCCGTGTCATTCCAGTCAATTCTATAATTTGTATTTACTACTTATATGAGGTTTTTTAACCGATAAAAAAATTCGCCTATGAAACGTTTGTGCACAGGATGGATGGAGAGGGATTGTGTAAGGTACATGTAGTCAACTGACCAAGGAAATGAGACCTTTTCAACAGATTTTCGCCCCACTTCTTGCTTCCGTTAAAAATGTTTATTTATCAGTTTGTCTACTTCTACCTCTGGAGATTCCTCCCATTTAACACCATCGTGAGACCATCTCAGTTTGTATTCTTCCAAATAACTATGACTTCCAGGGTGATCTCCTCGAGTGGCAACTGCGCAAATACGGTAAGATCGGCCGAAATCAATCTGCAAACGTTAAAGATACATATAGTGCTGGTGAATTAAAAAGCACATCCGAATCGAATAGTCCATCGCTCTCAGACAGGAGTGTAATTTGCACACTTTTGACTAAGATTAGTTATCAAGATATCTTTACTTTGTCAGCGATTAATTAATCAATTAATTGATTAGTTGTATTATATTATACATGCATTTTGATTGGTTCGCAGTTATGATCTATTGAAGGAGTGACGCGTAAATGACGTCACCATGGACAATTTGGGCTTCTTTATTACAGAGAAACAATACACTCCATGTTGTCATGCATCTGTTCGGTGATTGGTAAGAGATCAAAATGTGGTAAGAACATTAATGACACACTCGGCTACGTCTTATAGGCCACTTTTTTGTTCTCACCACATTTTGACGTCGTCTGTGATCTATTAGCATTGTAGAGACGCACTGCAGTCACGGTGAACCTGTCATATTTGGTAAACTGAGAGACGCCGACAAAATGGAATCCGTTCGTTAGTTACCTGAACATAAACATTCTCGCTCTCACTGCCTGGCCATGTTCTGCACCAGGTCTTTGCTCCGTTCAAGCGAGCGTTTGACGGATCTCCAGATGAGGCAGACAGTTGAGAATCCAGAATTTCACCCGTCTCTATACCAACAGCTGGTGCGGTGCACTCATTTTTCTCTAAATTTAAAAGAGGAGCTTGAGGATCTGAGTCCCCAAACATGAACAGTTAGCCCGAACATTTCCTTTCCGTTCATAGTTACCTATGAATAGACTCCAAAGGGAGGGGGGGAGGGGGTTAAAGAGAGCCGCTCCGAGATTAAATTGCTTTTCCCAAGAAAATATCGCATCTATCCTGGGAAGGGACCAAGCTTACACCTTTGGAGGTCCAAAGTGCACACCATTAGGCTGCCTGTCGAGAATAATAGAGCAGGTGACGATATATCCTTCACTATTCGTCCTCTGCGAAAGGCGTTGCACGCAAAACAAAAACAGAAAACGAAAGCAGTCAGGTAACGTAAGTGACATAGCGCAGTGTTGGTTACGTTGTTCAGGTGGTACCTTCAATACAGGTGTAAAGTTCCACTCTCATTGACACACGGCCACGCCAGACGGAGGGTCGGAAACGGATGTACCGCGCTTTAATTGGTGGGACTAGGTCATGATAAACAACTGTATTACGGTCCACATTTCCAGAAAATTCCTAAAACAATAGAATAATTGTTAAATGAGAGTGCAGTATAATTAAACTGAACTGAAGCAAGAAATCTGTAATAAAAGTTGAAATATCCTCTCCTAGGTCATGTTAAACCTTACTACTTCTTCAACTTAAGTTCCAAAGATTTGAGATTTAACAAGACGAATGTAGAGCGTTAACGAGAACTAGGAGAGAAATGTACACCAAACCAGTTTTAACTGTGTTTCATCGACTGAATAAATTATGAATGTGTTGGCAGCGAGGCAAAGTCGTAATAAGGACTTTCTGAAAAGGTAGCCGGAATTGTTGCTGTTTTTTTCTTAACCGCCAAAAAGAAAATTGAGAGGTGGGGAAGCCTTTGAAGTACAGAGATTGGAGGTAAGATAGCTGAAAACCAAGGGCTTGTTCATGGGATAAAAAAACTGTGGCGCTGCGTCGGTGGGGGCTATAAAAAGATAATTTGGTTTATCCACGGGGTGATAATTTAAATTGGCCTCCGTAAAATTTTCTTAAGCTGGCCCCTCGTCAGAACGTAGCATAGGAACCTGGTTAATCAGGCTCGCTCGTTTGGTTTCTAACATATCTCACCTCGATAATCTTTCCTCTGTATAAATTGAGACGTTCTGACGCCTTTATGGAGATCTTGTTTTAAGCAACCGACATATTGATAACCAAGCTGAAAATTTTTGCATCATTATAATCACGTCACTCCGTTTACAAGGGATGAAACTTAAAAGATAGTGTCCTTCCTATATCGGTAATGACGCTGAAATTTTTCCGTATCAGTAAAGAAATCGGGCGCAAAACTTAACTTACTAACCCGTTTTAAATTTTACTGTAAGGACAGGTGACAAAGATTGTCTCGCTAAACGCACTACTCGGTTATTGGGCTCAAACGAAGAGGCCCGATGAAGGATGATTTACATTCATAGACAACATTCGACAGTTTTGCCACACCTTGGGCGATTGCCCGTTTTCCGTGTAGTACTTAAAATCATCTCCATCATAACTGTACTGTACGTTGTACTGAATCACCCACTGATTCCAATCATTCCTTCCTTGTGTAGCCAGGCCTGTCACGCTTATGTCCTGACTGCGTAGGTCCACTTGGAGCCACTGATAACGATCGACCGTACGGCACACCCAGGCTCCCGGGGATGACAGAAGATTTAATCTACCTCGGGTGACGCCGTGAGCAAAAAATTGCGATGAGGCTGATAATTGATCGTTATGGATGTTGCCGTTTTCCATACCAAGAGGGACTTTGCACTCTAAAAGTTTATTTAATTAAATGTGAG